GCTTTGATAATAATTACATTACGCGCATTTCCTGTTTTGTTTTGTCACGAATAACGTCTTCGTTGCCGGCCTTATGTCTGTAAGCGAGCAGTTCTGTATTCCAGACAACATAACGCTGGCAGATCCGCAGTTTTTAAATTCTATAAACATTAGATTTATTTATTACAGACACAGATTTATTAATAGGCGCAGATACGTTCTGGGTCCTGTTAGGCGTAGGAAAAATGCGACTTCTAAACGGCCCTTACTTATCTTACAGAATACGAGGCTGGGATGGATTATTTCCGGTCCTATTTTTAATAATTCATTAAATTCAAAACGCATTCAATGTAACTATAGTTCTTCTTTAGACTCACAATTACGCTTGTTCTGGGAGCTCGAGGAACTTCCCTCGATCAGAGATACGCGGACGCGAAGAGCGTGCATGTGAAGAACATTTCCTTCGTACTACTAAACGCAATAGCGAAGGAAGGTTTTGTGTTCGCATTCCACTAAAACAGTCACCCAGACCTGTCTTGCCAAGTGGGCACTTTGGGCAAGTGCCCAGGGGCCCCTCAGATCAAATACAAAGTCCCTAGTTCCTGTTAAATCAGCAAACGGAAGTCATAGGGGCCCCATTATCCTAATATGCCCAAGGCCTCCAATAGGTCTCGGTTCCAGTCATTTCTCCTTCGAGAAGGGACTGGGAGCTGGGAGCGGGCGGGGGAGAGGGGGCTTCTGCTCCCGTGCCATCGGCGAGGGGAGAGGGACGGGGAGAATTACGCTCCCCCTCTCACTCCTCCGGGAGCCGGGGTGTGGGAGCACCGGTTTGCATTGCACAGGTTCCTGTGATGAGTGGTACCCTCGATGCTCCGGGGCACCACCTTTCGGTGGTGAATCCGTAAGCGGATAATCACTGGCGGGGGCCGTAGACGAATTTTGATTCCCAAGGCCTCTGCACTCTCGGCATGCACTCTGGGGACTCCGGTCTTCAGAGTGCGTGTCGGGTGACCGGTGCAGGAGTATTGTTAGGTTTTTAGTGGGTAGTATAGTAGTATTACAACATTTACTATAATTATTATATTTCATTAGAAACTAGCGCCACCATCTTCACTGACTTACAATCAAGTTTCACAAACACTGCCGTGAGATGACTCCACCTTGCATACTGCACTGTTTTTCCATTGGTTCATGCTTTTCATAACGAAAAATATAATTAAAAATCAAACGAACTTACCTTGTGCAGTTTGATATCTAATTATACGAATGTCTTCACCTAAGATGATTACATATTACATGCAGCAGCTCACGAGATGATGCTGTCCTCACCGCATTAATCAGTTACTTAATCTTTTTTGTATTAAAAAAAATAATACATCAAGGTCATTTTAATAATGGACTATGAATTATACTTCTTAACTCTCCCGAAGATGATTACATATTACATGCAGATGTTCAGAGCATCGGAAATTTTTTTTGAAATGATGGAAGAGGGGGAAAAATATAAGAAAGAAATAATACTTATAACTTTTCTTAAACTTTCTATTTCGTAAGAATTAATGATTACTATTGAAATATAGCGTTAACAAAATCATTGTCATTTGTAGTCGACACATTCTTATTAAATATAATACTTTAAAAAAAATTTCGAAGCGTCTGTCCAGCCGGCAGCTTTTCTTATAACTTCCAAATTGACACCTGCCCTGTGCGCAGCAGACGTCGACGCGTGTCGAGTGCTGTGAGCGCTGTATAATAATAAGCTTGACCACAAAATACCACTCTTTTCTAGTACAAATTTTATCCAATGTGATAATTTTTGTGGGGTTTTTGATGACTAATGAAAAGATAATCCTGATTTCGTAAACTACTAGGGTGATTCCTGAGACCAACGTTCTTCGCATCAGATCCGTGGCTTTTATTTTATTTCATTATTAGAAAAAACTAAAATTATATGGCTAAAGAGGGCTGAAAAACACGTCATTCTGTAGATGAGGCACACACGTAAACCTTATAGATTCTTGAAAAAAAAAGCAAATGTTATGGCTCGCCACGGATCTGACCAAGGGCATCACGGATCTGACGAAGTATATGAATCAAGTAATGGCGTCGCGTTAGAATCGCCTGTTAGAATGCTGCAATAAAGAAAATTATAAATAAAACATCATTATAGCAGAAGTAATCAGAAGTTTTTTTTTTTTATATCCATTGCATATAAAATATTAAAAAATCAAAAATAAACTACTTTGGTATTTGTTTAAATTCTTACGTTTAAACATCAGTCTTTACTGGGTAGGTACCCACGGCAATTAAAACTGAAACTGAACAGGTTGGGAGTCCAACGCTCTAACCGTTACACCACGGAGACAGTGAAGCTATAATATTATGTGGTCAGATCCATGGTCGATAAATCAAATCCATGGCTTAAATCCATGGATCTTACGATCACGAATTTGACGACAATTCAAATATGAAGGTATTACTGTAAAACTATAAATAAAATCGAATTTATTTGTACTCCAGTGTCTACACAGGGATATACGTATTATTAATCAAAGACCAGTTAAGTGAAACTATTCTCAATTTAACAGCAAAACGAGCCACGAGTTGTACCTACCCCGTTGGACAAACATTTGCAGAAGTCAAAGAACTTACCTAAAATTTTTGTCGCGAAATCTACAGACACTAACTTCCCGTCCGAACACTGCCGGTCGACAAGCGATCTTTTGGACCAATCGCAAGACGATTACCGCGTATACCACTAAATAAATTGTCATAGTTTCCCCGCGAGATTGAAACTATTAGTACAGTCAATCTGTAGGTTGAGTGGTGAAAAAAAAACCTAAAGGGTAAGTCTTGTTTTTTCTGTTGCCAAATGACGTCAGTAACCCACCTTGGCGATGGGCATGTTCAACTCGTAGGCGTTTTTTGAAAAACTCAAAAAAACCGTCAAAATTTTTTTGAAACGCATTTTTCTTGTTTTGTATGCATTTTAGAAACTTTTTTTTCGACCATAATTGTAGAGGGCGTTGAGTGCTACAATTTATGTCATTGTTGCAATCTCGTACAACAAAAAATGCGCATTGTAGGTGGCGCTAAAGTCTCAAAAAAGTGTTTTTTCTCTTTTTCACCCTGAAAATATCATTTTAATGGAAAACTGTAAATGGCAAAGTTGTTTCGTACATAATTACCAACAACTTTAGTATAAACAATTTTTTTGTATTACTTACCATTTTCAAGTTATAAATTGCGCAGGTATGAAAAATCCAATAGAGCGGTTTTGGGCAGTTCAAGTACACATTTCAATGTACGTTTTTACTATTTTTTTTTCAATCATGAAAAATAAAAATAAAACTTTTTTTTTTTTATTATTTTTTTTTTTGTTTTTCAATCATGAAAAAAAAATAGTAAAACGTACATTGAAATGTGCACTGCAAATGTGTACTTGAACTGCCCAAAACCGCTCTATTGGATTTTTCATACCAGCGCAATTTATAACTTGAAAACGGTAAGTAATACAAAAAAAATGTTTATACAGAAGTTGTTGGTAATTATGTACGAAACAACTTTGTCATTGAAAGTTTTCCATTTAAATGATATTTTCAGGGTGAAAAAGTGAAAAAACACTTTTTTGAGACTTTAGCGCCACCTACAATGCGCATTTTTTGTTGCACGAGATTGCAACAATGACATAAATTGTAGCACTCAACGCCCTATACAATTATGGTCGAAAAAAAAGTTTCTAAAATGCATACAAAACAAGAAAAATGCGTTTCAAAAAATTTTTGACGGTTTTTTTTGAGTTTTTCAAAAAACGCCTACGAGTTGAACATGCCCATCGCCAAGGTGGTTTACTGACGTCATTTGGCAACAGAAAAAACAAGACTTACCCTTTAGGTTTTTTTTTCACTGAAACGATATTTTTTTCGACAGATTGACTGTACTATATGCCCGCCGCGTGACATGTATTTGAACGAATAAAGGTATACTAGAATTTAAATTTTTTAGAACAGTTTATTCATGATCTAATAGAATAACTCTTTATGTATTTAAAAAAGTATATATTCATGTATAACCTTGAGCGTAAAAAAAATATTCACTATAACATAGCAAGAGTCGCGCGTGTAAAAATCTAGTGAAATTACCGCGTTTTTCAGTTTCAAATGGATATTTAACCAATTTCTTTAATTAAAAATTATTTTTATCAATGGGCCTCAACACTACAATAGTTAAGTAAAGTTTGGAGTGGTACTTTATTCAAGTTGGTCTATTACTCCAGTTAATATTTCAATGTGATCCTTAAAAACATGGGTCCCAGGAATCACCCACTTGTTCTATCTACGTAAGATTTCAAAGCTGAGGCTGGGCAGACTTTCGAGTCTTCTTTAATAATTAGTAGTACTATTAAAGGTTGGTAAGATCCAGGTCTCGTAGTTTTTATGAAATCATCAATTTTTATAATAATTTTATCTATATCAAAGCTAATATTTTGAATTTTAATAAGGCTCATGGTCTGTACTCTATGAGCAGAAGCTAAAGCGAGGAGAGTTATAGTTTTAACTGTAAGATCTTTTAGCGAAATTAAATTATTCGGAAAATAACTAGATAAATAATTTAATACCAAATTTGGGTCCCACGACCTGCGCCGCGCCGAACGCGCCGTCTGCGTCCGTTTCGATTCCGTAACGTGACAATAGTAACTATACACATACAATAAAAATCTACACTACACAAATATGTTTTACATTTTGTATGTACAAACCCTAGCGCTCCGCTCAGTAGTAGGTATCCATTTCAAGAAAACGGCTGAGTTACGCTACTGCTGTTGTATGTATTGTGGTCCCGTCCCACTAGTTAGAGATGAATTATCATATTCGATGACAAAAAAAATAACACCATTCGCAATCATATTTCGCGAATAGATAAAGGTTTAAAGGTAACACACTATTTTTCTACTCTTTAACCTAAGTAGATAAACTTGGTGATGTCTGTTTCGCTGATAAACCATTGTGCCGAATATAAACATCACAAATATAAATGTGTAATCATTTTTTGTGTGAATATGGTAATGTAGTTTGTCCATGGTCACTCTCTTACAAACTCGTTTAAATCAGTGCCAAATTGTAAGTAATTATTTATATAAATTGTTTGTAATCCAGTTAAATTCTTTTGCTTTATATTATTTTAGACTGGCGGTTTTTTGAAAATCCCTTAGGAATAAAACTAGTTTTTACGGGTTAATGCACGAAACTTTATTTATTTATTGACGTTTGCAAGACCATCAGATACTATTAGTTCTTTTTGTTTGCATAATTTAACATAAGAAGGAGATAGAAAGCCTCTCTTGAGTTTGTTCCGGTTCTTCTCAGAAAAGTCTCCCAATTTTGGAACCGGTGGTAGTTTACGGTAGTTAGGGTCAAATAAATAAACTCAAAATTACAAATAATAATTTTAAATAAAATACTTTATTAAGTAAATTAAATAATAAATTCATACATAGACAATAAAACTTAAAAATCGAACAATGAAATAACCAAACGCTCAATAAAAGTCTTCCGAAGGTAGCTCGACAAATTAAATAAAAGTTTTATTCTGACGACGAAGCCTGTAAAGGCTACGAAACGTCAATAAATAAATAAATTTTCGTGCATTAACCCGTAAAAACTAGTTTTATTTAATGAGTGATGTGCGTGAAAACTTATGAAACAAATCCCTTAGGAACCTAACATTTTTTCGGGATAAAAAGTAGCCTATGTGTTAATCCATGGTGACAGCTGATTCCATACAAAATTTTATTAAAATCGCTAAAGCTGTTTAGACGTGAAGAAGTAACAAACATACACACACACAAACTGTCGCCTTCAAAATATTAGCGTGATTTCATGTTACTAAAAATAATACAGACAAGTTGATATCGTTTTAAAACATTCTTCAGAAGCAAACATGCTAATATTAAAGATATTTATTTATTTTATTTATGAGTATTAAATAATGTGGAGCTCGATGGCGCAAGTGGTTAGCGCGTTCGGCTGCGATCGTTGAAGTTAAGCAACTTTCGCAGTGGTCGGTCATTGGATGGGTGACCAAAAATTAAATATCTCATCTGCAGTCGTTAGCACCCACCAATCCGCACTGGGCCCGCGTAGTGGGTAATGGCCCAATCTCCCTATCCCATCCATAGGGAAGGCCTGTGCCCCAGCAGTGGGGACATTAATAGGCTGATGATGATGATGATGATGATTAAATAATGCACAAGCTAACAAAAGCGGACTTAATGCCGTGGGCATTCTCTACCAGTCAACCATAGGGCTTTGTGGATAATTAGTGGTACGGTGCGCAACTGAGGTGAAAATTATAGAACGGCAAACAAAAAAAAGTATGGCAGAAATCTATGTAAGTACCTTAATTTATTGTTACACAATAACATCGAATTCATTTTATTTTCAGGACAATGGCTTCTAGAGTCATTTTATTTTTTATTATCATTGCCGTGGCCGCTGGGTGCGCGTCTTCACTAGGAGGTCAGTTTAATTCAAAAACTTCGTCGTCATTGAGTGTCTTGAAACACTCAGTTGGAACGAAGTTTAAACATACGAAACAACTGACGGTTGTGACGGAATAATCGTACACATTCTCCCCAGTCGCCAAGTCCGTACTGTCCAAAAAGGAGATCAAAGAACACGGGGTCCCCCGGTTTGTCCTACTGGTGGGATCACGGTATACCACTATGAACCTGTGGTCCGGTCAGGACTAGGGTGATTAATATGGCATAGATAACATATAGCATAAAGAGCAGACGTGGCGCTGTGAGACATTTGAGAAATAGGTATTTGAAAACATTATAACCGTGCGAGTATGAGGGACAACTGTAGCTAACGCTGAACATTGAGTATAGAAATTGCAAAATTCAAGGTTTGGCCTACGACGATTTCATCCTCGTAAATAAGATGTATGTCAAATAAATTTTACCCATAGCATAATAAGTAGTTATACTAGGCCTCTATGTTTTGTTTCTTTTTGTAAATGCTTATTGAATCTCCAGACTAGACGTCTTTAGTGGTTATAAAAATTTGTTGCATTTTGGCATTTTTGAGAGGTTCTAGTTTCTTTGAAACACAAGTTGTAGAAAATAGAAAGACATAAGAGCACAGAATATATAAAATCGTATCATATTTTTGCGATAATAAAGGAGGCATCATTTGAGAACATATGTATGGAAAAAATATTGCCCTCTTAACATAGTATCGTTAAAAAAAGTAGTAATGATCAAATAATCACATTTCTTAGTACTGAATTGTTTTTACTATAGATAATACATTTGATGACAAAAAATGATTATGTGTACCAATTCATTAAACATGTCTAAGGTACACGTTTTATTCGTGCGGTGACGGAGATAGAATACCACTCACCGCCCCTTCACTTCCCGCGGGTGTCGTATAAAGCGACTAAGGGATATCGGAGCTTCCATCTGCTCTTCCGGTGGTAGGGTGTCTAACACCCGCCTGGTTTGTTATCACCGTGCGCATGGTGAAAAACCCGTGAAGTACTTCATGCGCGTTTCAGGATCAGCCAGCGAACAACCAGAGCTCGAGTGGAGATTGCCGCAACGGATTCGATACAGTGGAGAGAGGCATCCGTCGAACCGATGCCGGAGGACTGCATCGACCCGCCGGCCAGGGAGACCCGTAGAAACGGCTGTCCCGCTAGCCGCCCGTGGCACAGTACAGGGGCCCGAGCGTTCCTAACCAGTTCGCGCGGCTGCCCTATCATGTCACGCATAATCTCGGGGTGTCCCAGCGGCCACTCCCAGGGGGGGGGGGGGGGGCTCATGATGGCAGCCCGTAAAACAAAGTTTGGTTAACAAACAAAAACAAAAACCCCCACGCCTTCCGCGCTGTTTGAGGTTGAGTTCTGTAATATACGACTCCCCTCTAACCTCAATGCTGTCCACCACCATCTTGAGACAGCACGGCCAGCATTATTGTTTCTCACGGAGACACAATTACTTCCGCCCGCTGACACAGGCTAACTTAACTATCCCGGCTAGGTGCTTGAAGAATCCTTCAAAGCAAAAGCCGGCGTATGCCTGTATGTTCGGGTGGATGTTTGTTGTCACCCTTTGACCTGCCTTATAGACCCCTTCTTCTCCATGTTGGCGGTACATGTAGACTCTGGTCCTTTGGCCAGAGTCTACGTGTGCGTCTACAGATCCCACATTGACAATGCTGACACAACTCAACTGTTTGACCACCTTAGTAGGGCAGCAGATGATGCCCAGGCGCAATTTCCCAACGCAGAACTGGTGTTTTTGGGGGACTTTAACGCCCACTATGATTTGTGGCTGGGCTCCTCCAAAACTGACCATGCAGGGATCTCTGCCCATGTATTCGCTCTCACGCATCGCACAACTGGTCGATCAGCTCACCAGGATCCCAGATATAGCAAGTCAAGCGCCTTCTTTGCTAGACCTTCTGCTTACGATTCATCCGCAGGAGTATCAGGCTGTGGTTCGAGCCCCACTGGGTTCATCATCTGGGAGAGAGGCACAACACTGGCGCTACAGAGCAACATTACCATGTTCGGTATGGAAGTTCTCACAGACCTGAATCCAAAGGACTACATCGAAACCGTGATCAAAACAGCTTCACGCAAACTCGGAGTCCTGAAAAAGGTGCGGCGTTTTTTCACGACCGATCAACTGTGCTTGTTGAACAAAGCTCGCACCTCTGGGATGGCTCTGCTAAGAACTTACTCGATGCCTTGGATAGGTTGCAGCGGCGCGCTGCCCGCATCATTGGCAATAACTAAGAAACTCCAGTCTCTACAATTACGCCGCGATGTGGCATCATTAAGCGCATTGTACCGACTTTACCACGGCGAGTGTTCGGAGGAGTTATTCTCCCTTATCCCTCCATCACCTGTTCTTCAGTACTATCCGTAAGTGGAATTCTGTAACCGCCAAAGTGTTCCCTCCTTCCTATAACCTGGGGTCCTAAGAGAGGCGTGAAGAAGCATTTTTGCAAGCCGGCAAGATGAGGATGATTGGTGTAGCAGTTTATAACTGCTGTACCTGCTATCATCGCGTTTGGACTTTATTACCACTTAACATCAGGTGTTGTACAGTCATTTGCCTACCTCTTTATATATATTAATACTTAAATATTATAACTTTAATTATTTAATGTTACAACTTTATTAATATACGAGTATGTACATCAATATATACAGGAACAATGAACCTTAAACTAAAAACCTTAAAAAGTATAAAAACTAAAATATATTACTAAAAGGAGTCCCTTTAGGAAACTTATAGACTTATATTACTTATTGCTTATGTAATTTCATTTATTCATATTTACATAGAAATATTTCAATTACAAAAGCTTATATAACTTGTTGTGATAAGACAATATATTTAAAACCAAATCATGGAATCAACACCTAATCGTTATGTTAACTTCTTTTGTACAGTTATACAATTAATACAAAAAGATCAGTATTGGGCCATTTTCTTGCACTATTACGTTAAACCGAAAATGCATTACCGTCTTCAGATTTAATGTGGTGTTCAATTGAAAAGTAGAAATAAAATACTAATAAGAAATAATTCCCATAAGATTATGTTATTTCATTAATTGACATAAATATAATTAAAATAAGACTATCGACATAATACAAGCATTTATCGATACGACATGGTATAACTATGATATACTATAATAATTATGGTACGCCTTAGTCCATTAGGACCACGGGTACGCAGTGGTATACCGTGGTCCCATCAATAGGACAAACCGATGGGACCAGACCGATTTCTACGGGGTACATAGAAAATTTGCTTTTTTGTACAAAAATTTCACCCATGCTTCATCCGCTAAAAGTTATATTTAAAATAAAAGTCATATGCATGAATGTCAAACTGCTGTTAGCACAATATGCAGAAAACTGTAGCCCCGGGCCATTACGCGCAATGGCTGCGTGATACTAATATCAGATTGACTGGAAGCAGTCAATATGTGCATGTGTAGCGACGAGCTTATCTACCATATGTAGTAGATATTTTTTTTCTGCTTCCGTTGGGTTAAAACTGTGTCTAGGCACATATATAATCAAAGATCTAAATACATTGTTTGTCGAAGCCATAACATGACTCACGAATTTTAGCTTGACTGGCTTTTCTGAACGATTGTTTTTCTAATATTTTGTACAAAACAACTAGGTATCTGTTGTTGTCGTGCGGAACTAAAAGTTTTGTTTGGCAGGGGACACGCTCACGGACGTGCTAAACATCACAGCGGTAGGTAAGCAGCCGGGTATTTGCTCGAAATGTATATGCAAGGATGGTAAAGTGGATTGCTCCAGCAAAGGGCTGACCAAGTTCTTCCCACAGCACAAATGGGCAGGTGAGATATTGCTTTATAATAAGAAGACAACACATACAATAACTATCTTTTAAACGAATGAATAATGCTTTACTTAATATAATCTGTTTTGAACATGCGGCAATACATGACCTGTGCCCCTGTGGCATTCGATAAAACTGTAGTTACTGTAGAAATACAGCGTTGTACAATAGAATTTATTCCTCTACATTCTTCACTAAAGCAAACCATACACGCTAGGGTTTACCTAACAGTTGTAACAACCGGAGCGTGTATGTTATATATCTGCGCAGGTTTCCACGCCTGTACAGGCAACTCGAAAAACAGGCAACTCGAAAAAATATGAATTTTGATATTTTCTACCTGTGCAGTTTAACAGTGCAGGTAAAACTGTGTGTGTTCCGGTCTTCTACGCAGGCGTCAGTTGTCCAGTGATTATTGGAGGAGACGGACGCTCGGCGCTCTACTGAATAACTACAAAATGTCGTCTCGTAAACGGAACTAGGTCCTGGAGGAGTTTCTAGAAATCTTTAAATAGAAGTATAGTCTTTGGCGCATAAAATGTTCTCCCTGTTGCAAGGTATCTTAAATCACTGTCAATCTTAGATGATGCGATAAAGCTCTTGTCATTATTGTATCCTGCTTCTCAATTAAGGGAGTCACTGCTTTTAACAGTTAAAGATACGTATTTTCATCCATTCGTAGATAAATGCGGTAATCTCTTAGCTTAACTTTCAATTGTTGCAATAAATTGACATGAGAGTACTGTTTTCTTTGCAGTAGCGATGCTATGCAGCACTGTTCACAGTGTTCGTTTAAATGTTCTTTTTTTTCAATATATCAAACAATATAAACTAAAAACGATACTGTTTTGAAATCAAGCACCGCTGCCGGGGTCCTTGTTTCAACTGAAAGTTTGTGCAGGTTTACCACTACATGAATGGTCTCTACTAAACTCAAGTATACCTGTACAGTTCAACTGTTCAGGTAAACCCTAGCGTGTATGGCTTGCTTTATGTCCAAGTTTGAAATTGATTTCTTAATTTTTCTTTTAGCTTTGAAAAACTTCAGGCCTACAATAGTAGACATGAGCAACAACTCCTTTGAGAGGATCACTCTCATGGCGGAGCTCCCCATAGAGGTCTTAAACCTATCCAGATGCGGCATACAGGCTGTAGAGTTCGCTGCATTTCGACCCCTGCGGAACATGAGGGTTTTAGATCTGAGCCACAATAAAGTGCGTACATTATTAACCATTATTCTATCAATATCCCCACTGCTAGGGCATAGGCCTTCCTTGTGGACAAAATCAGGAGATAAGGCTACTAACTACTCAGGAGCAGTTTAGATTGGTGGGTGCTAACACCTGCAGATGCTCCTCTTCTAAATAAATGTATGAAACTTTTATCAAATTTGACATTTGTTGCACCTGGAGCGTAGGTTTGGAACGCAGGCCTTGTCTGCGCAGTCTGCAAATGTCATCTTAGGCCCAGCCAATCCTAGACGTTTTCGCTGACATGATGTAATACTTACTTAAATTCTGCCAATCCTACCCGTTTTCGCTGACATGACGTGATGCTTACTTAAATTCGGCCAATCCTAGCCGATTTTGCTGACATCACTTAATGCTAACTTAAATTCGACAAATAACAGTCGTTTTCGATCATGTGACATTAGATAACTAATAGAAGGAAGTGATCAAATTATATTTATTTAATTTTATTGAATTAATAATGTATCTCTCCACTATATTACAGTTATAGAAATTAGTTTAAAAACAAATAAAATAATATTGGAAAATTGTTGTATGCCTAGTACCTTGTCCACGCTGAGCCTGTATTGGGCATTGCCTTTTGGTAATAGAAAAAAAGTAATTTAACATTAATTCGACAAACCTGGTGTCAGGACACACAAGAGTGATAAATTTTTGGTAGTTTGTAATTTTTTTTAATGTTCTTATAATTAATTAAGTTAGGCACCATTATGAACATGTCCAAAATATGCTGTGTGCTAAACTAAAACACACAATACATATTTTAAATTTCAAATTTATTTTAAGAAACCTAGTTTCTCCTAGTAATTCTATCCTCTTTCACCTATACTCCCTTCCTATATCATGAGGACCGTTTCGTTTTCGCTCTTTTTATCCTGTCCATGATCTTCGGTCTTGTTATGTTGTTTATAACCTACCCTTAGTAATTACAAAAATTGCTTTCAAACACATTGACTTTCCCTTGATATAACTGAGTTAAAACTTGTTACTTGTCATATTAATTATTAACTAGCAAACCAGTGAACCAAATGTTCACCAAAACCTGATTTCTCAAAAATCGGAAGTACTACGTTACTCAAATCCGGTTTGTAGTCTTATCAGACTATTCTTAACTTATAACTTAAATATTCTCTTTATCTATCTCTTACGGTTTGGCCGCTGAAACCGCACCACAGACAGACGGACGGACTTGTCTAGTAGATAAGAGATTGTTCAGTAGTTTGAACTGTGTGTTAATACATCAGTCAGCCAGTCAGTAACGATTGGTTTTTAAACTTAGTTTTTTTATACTGAACAGATTTATTACTCTGTTTTAGTTAAGATACACGCCAGAGCTAATCTATATGGACGTCCTGAATCTTGCCTACAACGACCTGCACACCTTGTTTGATATGGGCGTGTTCATTAAATTAAAGCAGCTGACAGAGTTGGATTTGAGCGGCAATCCTTTGGAGAACACTGAGCTTAGAGTTTTTGACTCAGGATGGGGGAGTACGTTGAAGGTATTTTTTGTTTTCGTGTTTTTCCAACAGTATAGTGCGAGACCTCATGTTGTTAGAGTAAACTGCTTACTTATTTTGCGTTGCCAAATCTATTGATTGATGTTGTCCAAAAAACTATGTTATTAAAAATTGCTAATCTTTGTGTGCAAGTATCTGTCTTCCCTGATAGTCTAAGATCCAAGACTACATCGACCTTCACCGAGCTGATAAAAGAAAGAAACATATTTTATCATGAATATAGTATAATAGAAAATGGGTTGCCTAAAAAAATTCTAGACAGACTATTTTTTTATTAATTTGAAAAAAATATTTTTTTAATTTATGTTGTAACATTACCATAATAAGAAAATTTTGTCGCGACTTACAGTATAAAATGTGCAGCCGTTAGGGTTTCTATTATTTTCTTGGGCGAACTACTGGGTTGCCAGGTATAAACAGCTATATCGAATTGTCGATGCCAGTTATGTTACCCAACGAGTACACATTCTATACGTTTTATACTTTAATAAGTACAACATTTTCTTATTATCTTAATGTTGCAGTATAAAATTAAAAATATTAAAAAAAAAGTCGGTCCAGGATTTATTTAGGCAAATGTAGTATATATATATATAGGCTCGGATCTTCTACTAAGACTAATAAGCGGCTAGGTAGAGATGAACTTTGAATCAACAAATTGGTATGTATACTTCCAGATTCTGCGTTTACGGTCGTGCCAACTAACAAAGATACCTAGATATTTCCTGGGCCATTTCGTGAACCTGGAACGTCTGGACCTGAGCGACAACCACCTGACCCGCATTCCCGAAGATTTGAACAAGGTGGAAAACCTTCTATACTTAAACCTCAACCAGAATCCCATCAGAGAGCTGAACATCGACACTGTGGTCTACTGGTGAGTCCTCTACATGAATAAATTGTTTACATTACCATTAGCTTAGTATCACATAACATAAGACTTACCACACAATACTTATTTTGGGGCTAAGCTAATTGGTGTGTTTATTAGATTTTTTTCTGTATTTAGGCATTATTATATCATTCTGATATATTTTTTGGTGATGAAAGTAAAACCTTCTAATGCTAAGCCGACTATTATACATATGAGAAATTTTGCGAAGCTGAACGTTGAGAAGCTTGTAAATGAAGCGAATGCCATTGATTGGTCGCCTGAATATGGGGCGTCCTCTGTAAATGATATCTTCTTAGTCGGGCACTCTTGTCAGAGTGGTCGTGGTTGCACTGACGAGGTACATGGTGGGGTGTTCTTTGGGTCGCTATCAATTCCGAGGGTAGCTCTCCTGGCGATGTGCTTCCATTTCTGACGGTTCGAGGCGTCGTGAGTACACTGGATCATGGTGGACTCAGTAGCCTTTGTGATGGCGTCTATCCAGCGGGTTGGTGATCGACCGCGTGCTCTCTTGCCTTCCACCTGACCTTGAACCACCAGCCTTTCCATCGAATTCTCATTTCTAGAGATGTGACCAAAGAACTTCAGTATTCGTAGTTGCACAGTTGACGAGAGTCTGTCTTTAACACGAAGCTCTTTGAATGGATACATTGGTACGAAATGCCATCCACGGGATCTTTAGGAGGCGTCTCCAGCACCACATCTCCAATGCATCGATTTTACGGCGATCCTGCAGTCTCAAAGACCAAGTTTCGGCTCCATAAAGCAAGATTGGAAACACAAGGCATTTCATCAATCTGACTTTAGTCTTCTTGGTAACTCTCCTGTCCCTACAAATCTTTCCTAGCCGTTCCACTGCAGACCTGGTGATGGCGCACCGTCGTCTGATCTCGTCGCCTCATCCTCCAGTGCTTGATTTAGTAGAGCCGAGGTAAATATACATTGGTTCCAAATTGTTCGGCTCGGTCTACTATCATCATCTTCGTCTTGTCTCGGTTTATAGCAAGTCCAAATCGCAGACTGGTACTTTCTAGACGGGCTAGAAAATTTCACATGTCTTCTCGAGTCTGTGCGAGAAGAGTAGTATCATCAGCGTATCTGAGGTTATTTATCACGCGTCCATCAACAGATGTTCCTTTGTCCCAATCTTCTAGGACAATGCGCATAATATACTCTGTGTAGGTGTTAAAGAGTAGTGGCGATAAAATGCATCCTTGTCGTACACCGGCCTCGGTCTGGAATTCACTCGAAAGGGTATCATCGACTCGTACCGCTGCAGTACCGTTCTCATACAACCTTCTCAACAGAAGTATTAAATGGTGTGGTACGCCTATTTCCGCAAGTATCCTCCTGAGGTGTGTCCATATGACGGTGTCAAAAGCTTTCCGAAAGTCCACAAAGCAGATGTAAAGGGTTGTATTGACGCAATATAAGAATTTGTTCACGTGTGCCTCTTCCCTTAAGAAATCCGGCTTGCTCGGGTGCAATTTCCCTTGAGAGGTAGGCCAGCAGCCTGGTATTAATTATGTGGAGCATCACCTTACTTGCATGAGATATCAAGGATATGAGACGGTAGTTATTACATTTCTTGATAGACCCTTTTTGTTATGTAAATAGTATGATCACCACCTTTATTTAATGCAGCAATAATAAAAATATTCGATCATCATACTCCCATTAAATCAGTCAAGCTGCGACGACCAACTGCTCCCTGGATCACTCCTTTTGTGTGCATTGCCATAAAAAGACGGAATAAGGCCTTTCGTATTTTTAAACGATGCCGCTCTGATGTCAACTGGGTGGCTTTCAAGAGTACAAGAAATATAATATATTCATCAAAATGTAACTAATTCCTCTGCAGCCGAAATGTGGAAGTTCCTTAATTCAATTGGTATTGGCAAAACACGAACTCGATTGTTATCTCCTTTTTATTTTAGACGATATTAACCGTATTTTTTTTCTGACACTGTTATATTTCTTACAATTTCCAAACTTTCTTCCACGGCCACTCCTTCTAATGCCATTTTCTCCTTTAGCCCACTGATTTAAGATAATGTTCCAAAGTTAGCACTGTCCATTAGGTCTAAGACTATATGATGTTATCAATAGAAACATGTGCATATTGCTATTGGACTCTCTACTTCTTACGTTTACTTTCATCATGAACAAATCCCTGTCTTCTGGTTCATTTCTTAATGTTTGGCGTAAGGCATTTTCTATTCCTCTCCCAAAAATTTCTAACCCTAGCTCTCTCGATCACTTTATATCTATCTGCGTAATAGCTTATCTTTCTAAAATTCTCAAAGTTGCTGTTCTATCCTCTATCGTCTATCGCAACTGCCTTCTATCTTACTTCCCGTCTGGTATCCGTCTAGGCATAGTACCACTACAGCGTTTATGAAAATTGTTGACTGATTACTTTGACTGTTTTAGTACTACTCAAATTTCCAAACGCATTTAATGCAATTGATCATGATATCATTCTTGCGCTTCTTGCTCAACTTGGGTGTTCCTATAATGTATTAAATTGGTTCGGTTCCTATCTGGGGGGTTAAAATTGATCAATCGATCTCTGACTTGTCTGACTTATCTGCTGGGGTACCCTAGGGAGGCGTGATATCCCTTCTCTTCTGCTCCTTATTTATTAACTCCCTTGCTTCCATCATTTCTACCTCTTATCATCTTTATGCAGACGACCTTTAGCTGTATGTGCAGTACCAAACTGGAGAGGGCAGTATGTCTACTGAATCAAAACCTCTCTCCGGTACGTGAATGGTCTCATAACTTTGGGATTACCATCAACCAAGCGCGGTCCGAGGGGGGGGGGAAACAGGTTCCAGAAGTTTCGTCAGGACTGTATTTTGATACACAACTGCATTCGTTTTTACACCTTTCTCATAAAAATGTACCTGTGTTAAGCCCCAATAAGAAACTCCCAACCATACTATGAGCGAGGATGGAAAATGACCTCGTTGGACACGCGGAATACGGTTGCTCGCTTCTTCACTACTGTGTGCATACACCTTATCATTTTGTTTGTTGTAGCTCTCTTCTAAGGTAAAAATTTTTTCATCCGAAAAAAGAATTTCCCGATATTTTTTTCCAGCGCGTACCGCTTCAACAAAGCGCGGCATCTCTTCAGTCTCAGGTCCATTAGACGAGCATTCAAACGATGTCCTGTTTTTCTTCGATATGCCCGAAGCCCTAAGTCTTCATTTAACACCCTTTTCACCGTGGTTCTGTTTAACCCCATCTGAAGGGCCAACAGTTTTTGCTTACGTTTGGGATTTCTTTGAATTCGCGCCTTCACAGCTTTTATCACTGCTGTAGTCCTTACAGACCGAGGGCGACCACTTCTTGAACTGTCATATACACTAGTCTTCATTGTATCGTTTGATGGTACGATAAACGAATCTTTTTGTTATATTTAAATTTTTCAATATGTCAAAAATTTGAATTGGCGCGTAACCGCAACGATGCAACGCAATAACTGGATCACGGTCTTCTTTAAGCGTCCACTCCATATTTAAAAATGAGTAAAATTCTAAAAAGTATACATTTTTATTTTTATGAACAATTCGAAATTCGAATTCAATAAACTTTTTTGTGGCCAGCATTTTAAAAGAAAAGTTTTTACTGTGTGACAATACTTATGACCTGACTGTTTATAAGACCACTTTTTTGTCCGTCCGTCTTTCTGTCTGACAAGACCGATTTTCTCAGGAACGCGTGCAAGTATCAAACTCATATCTAATACTCAGGTCTACTGTCCCTTGGAGCTGTGAAAAAATCAAACTTCTAAGCCAAAGCATTCAAAAGAAACAGCCGTTTATGCCGCAAATTTTTGCAATTTTTCGAAACTCGCACGGGAATCAAAACCTACAGGGTACTTCCCTTGAACTTAGAATCTTGAAATTTGATACAAAGTAACGTCTTATAGTACAGATAAAGGAAAAATTGCGAATACCGTTAATTTTTAGTTACGTCATATGATAAAAAATATTTTTGAAAATTTAGGTGTGTACGGAACCCTCGGTGCGCAAATTCGACTCGCACTTGGCCGGGTTTTTTTTTATTAGTGTAGTGAGCGACCCCCTCCAAAATTTCAGGCTGCGACTATTCTATGAAAGTAAAAAACCTTGGCCTCGTACTTGGTCACAGGCTTAGTTGGGATAGCCAAATGGAGAATATATGTCGCAAGGTAAATAGAACACTTGGTTCACTTTATCGCCTCAAGAATTTTCTCCCTCCGTGTACTAAAATCTCTCTTGTACAATCCCTTGTTCACGCTCTCTTTGATTAACCTGATGTTTGTTTTACTGATATAAATCAACTATTTCTACTTGACTAATTTGTTTCTTAGGTTTTCACGCACATCACTCATTAAATAAAACTAGTTTTTACGGGTTAATGCACGAAACTTTATTTATTTATTGACGTTTCGCAGCCTTTTCAGGTCTCCATCGTCAGAATAATGATTTTTTATTTAAAAATAAATCTGCAGTGTGTGAACATGCATTAGGGGGACCAAACCACTACATTAGATTTGATAGACCACAGATCCTTGCAGCTGAGCGGCGGTTCGTTCCTCGAATGATGCGCGAGGCTATTGAGATTAAAAAAATTTCCAAATTTCAATAGGGAAGATGGTTGATATATACCACCAGCTTGGGAACCTATTATACAGGAAATAAAATCCCAACCCCGAGCACACACTGCAAGACCATCAGATACTATTAGTTCTTTTTGTTTGCATAATTTAACATAAGAAGGAGATAGAAAGCCTCTCTTGAGTTTGTTTCGCCGGTTCTTCTCAGGAAGGTCTCCCAATTTTGGAACCGGTGGTAGTTTACGGTAGTTAGGGTCAAATAAATAAACTCAAAATTACAAACAAGAATTTTAAATAAAATACTTTATTAAGTAAATTAAATAATAAATTCATACATAGACAATAAAATTTTAAAAATCTTCCAATGAAATAACCGAACGCTCAATATAAGTCTTTCGAAGGTAGCTCGACAATTTTAAATAAAAAATCATTATTCTGACGATGCAGACCTGAAAAGGCTGCGAAACGTCAATAAATAAATAAAGTTTCGTGCATTAACCCGTAAAAACTAGTTTTATTTCTTACTAAATTGGATCGTCTACTCAAAAAAACTATTCGTTTTGACTTTGGTTTACTTAAATATGATCAAATTTCTGCGTTCCGCAATAGAATTAAGTGGCTACCTATTCGGGAGCGTAGGTATTAAAGGACAGTTCTTACCCTTTTGAACTTACTATACGATCCACGCACCCCTGGATATTTGATATCTCGGTTTCAGTTCCTGGGCTCTTCCCATCATTTAAATCTTCGTTCTAATGACAATTTAATACTTGAAGTACACATCCACCATACTACACACGTATCTAGTTCATACACCCTCTCTGCCATTCGGCTCTGGAATGCACTTTCTCTACATGTGCGTTTAGGACTTTGGTGCGGGAACATTATTTTAATTTATCGCAAAATGCTTAAACTGAATTAATAATACTATAATATTTATTTCCTTTTTCTATTGTAAGTAGATCTCCTCAGCCTCCACCCCACAATAGCGCCGAGCATCTCTTTCTTGAGGTAACTCTGTCCCATACTAAAGTCCACTTGTGTGTATTTTATAGTCCCTCACTTCGCACCGACTACTTTGAGTCTTTCGAAAATCTCCTTGAAAATTTCGTACCTTCTTACACTCATACTATAATAATGGGTGACTATAATACGTGTCTTATTAAAGATGACTTTCGCTCAAAAAAACTTCTTTCAGTAGTTAACTCTTCTAATCTGCATGTCCTTCCTTTAAGAGAAACGCATTATTTTCCTAATTGTACACCCTCTTTACTTGACCTTATTATTGTCTCCTCCCCGTCCTTCACTGTTAAGCATGGTCAATATTCTGCAGACGCATTTTCATATCACGACCTGGTGTACCCGTCTTATCGGATTCATCCTCCCAAGATTAAACCTACAGTGTAATTTCAGCGTAGCTTTGCGCATATGGACCATGACCAACTACAAGATGCTGCTAATATGGACTGGTCGGCGATTTTTGCTGCTGATTGTGTAGATGAACAAGTGCTACTTTTTAATAAGCTTCTGACTGATTTGTATGACATTCATGCACCAATCCGACCCATTAAAATTAAGTCTCTACCTGCTTCTTGGCTCACTGAAGAGATTCAACGGTTGATGAGTAAAAAAAACAGGGCAAAGGCAAAGTTTAAACTTGATCTTTCATATTTGAAGGATCCTCGTTGTTATTACAACGAGGCTAAATACAATCGTGCTGGAAACCGGTGCAACACCGTGGTCAGGGACGCACAAAGACGCCACATTCATAAATCAGTGGAAAGTGAAGACCCCGGGAAGGTTTGGAGATTCTTGAGATCAATGGGAGTTGGCAAGTCACGTAGGTCCAATCTCTGTAACAATCTTGATGTCGATCAACTTAACAGTTATTTTTCCTCTACAATCTCCATTGATGAGAAACGTAAGCGTTTAACCTTACGTCATCTTTCTAATCTGCCAACTCTTAATCCTCCCTTTGTCATACATCAATTTGCGGAATGTGATGTTAAGAGGACTATCTTGTCGATTAATTCCAGTGCGGTAGGCAGTGATTCAATCAGCCGCAATATGATCCTGCCTATTATAAATATCCTGATTCCTGTAATCACAACCATTCTTAATACTTCAGTTTCTACTGGAGTTTTTTCTTCTTCCTGGAAAGACGCCAATGTGATTCCTCTCCCCAAAAAATCAAATCCCACCTCTTTTTCGGAATACCGTCCCATATCCATTCTTCTGTTTTTATCAAAAGTCCTTGAAAAATTAATATCCTGGCAGCTCACGGCCTTTCTCAATTCGAACCACCTCTTCAACTCTTTTCAGCCTGGCTTTCGTAGGGGCCACAACACTACTACCGCACTGGTTAAAATTTCGGATGATATCCGCCGAGGAATGGATAAACAGCAACTTACGTTGTTGACGTTGCTTGATTTTAGCAACGCCTTCAACTCAATCGACTTTGACATCCTTTTAGGCGTTTGGGTTCACTTAGCATATCTCCATCCGCAATTGAATGGTTTCGAAGTTAGGCCTAGGCTAGGCCGCCGACAGCGTATCCGTATTGACAACACCTTGTCTTCATGGTGTGATATCAATGCCGGTGTTCCTTAGGGTGGCGTCCTATCTCCTCTTCTATTTTCTATCTTTATAAACTCTATCACACTGTCACTTTCATGTTCATATCACCTTTATGCTGATGACCTCCAGATATACACTCAGGCCCCTTTATCTGACCTCTCTAGCGCAATTTCTGATATCAACAATTTGTCGCTTATAAGTAGTTGGAGTGAGTCATTTGGTCTTACCTTAAATCCGGAAAAAACTCAATCCATCATAATTGGCAGTCCTTATTTTATTTCTAGGATCGACTTTAATCATTCGCCTTCCATTATTTTGAACGGTTCTATTATTCCCTACTCAGAAACCATCAGAAACTTGGGTGTTGTCTTTGACCAGAGTTTCACCTGGAAGCCACAGGTGGAGGTGGTCAGAAAAAAGGTGTTTGCTGCTTATGGTTCCCTTAATCGGTTGCGGAACTTTTTGCCGATCAGTACCAAAATCAACTTGAAAAATTCTCTGTTGTTGTCCATCATCGCCTACGCTGACGTTTGCTACACCGATCTGTCGGAGGAACTCCTCAATAAATTAGAGCGACTGCAGAATGTTTGTATCTGGTTCATTTATAATCTCCGTAAATTCGACCACGTGTCTCATTTCCGTAATAAACTTAATTGGCTCCCTATTCGTCGGCGCAGAGATCTACACACTCTAACGGTTCTCTATTCTATACTTTTCCTGCCATCCTCCCCACCTTATCTTAAGCAGTGTTTCTCATTTCTATCCTCTTTTTCACAGCTCTCACTGAGATCCTCTTCTAACTTACTTCTTGAGATTCCCTGTCACTCTTCTGGCTTATTTTCTTATTTTTTTTTTGTGCACGCTGCTCGACTTTGGAATTCACTTCCTGAGGGTATCAGAAAGGCTCGTTCGCTTAATTCCTTTAGCGATGAAGTTAAAAGCTATTTTCTTTCTTTATCTTAAATTCATTTAATATCCTATTTCTTTGCTTCTCTTATATTTATGTAAGTATAGCTCCTGTATCTACTTTTGTACCCTTCTATATTTCTCTATTATTATTCCATTTCCACCATATGTTGCCTGGAACAGATTGCTGTTTAGCAATAAGGCCGCCTATTGTACTCTTTCTTCTGTTTTATTTGTTTTTTATCTTGTGTCCTTTGTTGTGTGCAATAAAGAATATTTATTATTATTATTATTATAATCAGACACTAAATATTATTTGTAGATATGTATATATTTATGTATATATTTGTGTGTATTATATATGTCGGTATAATGCATACTTATGTAGGTATATGTAATTAATGCTATATAAATTCGTTTGTATCATTGTTTGATGTTTACCATGTTCGTTGTCTGCCGTTTTATTTTCTCTGGGCCTTCTTTCCGGTTGACTGGTAGAGAATGCTATACTGTCCGCAATTTGCATAGTAAAGGCAATGAAGATTAAATAAATAAAAAAAAACTGATGATGATGCGCCGATTTTAATTATTTGTGTTTTTAACCAGGACCATCAGGGGGTTAGCCTACATACTTTTGAAGCTGAAGGAACTGCATTTAAGCAACATGCCAATCTTGACGGAGATTGGTCCGGGAGCGCTGGGATATCTAGAGAGCCTGGAGAAACTGCATTTGAGTTTCAACCCTCAGTTGAGGCACATAAGTGCTACAGCTCTAACGCGCCCTGCAAAAAATGGGGAGGACTTAGTGGGGCCTATGGTGAAAGAGGTGATTTTGAAGTTTTATGTTGCACTAGCGATCTGCTTTGGCTTTGCACTGGTCAAATTTATTTTAACGCGACTACGATCACCATCCGTCCGGATTAGTCCGGACATGTCCGGACTTTTTAAATTACATTGAATATGAATAATTAATGTACATTATTGATTTAAATACTATACCATTGTAACTAAGTGCGTAATGGTACTATGTTGTGACTAAGAAGTCCGGACATTTTTTGAAATGTCAGGATTTTTGTCAGGACGTTTGAAATTCCTAAATGGTAACCCTAAACGCGACAAGACGTAGGTGTTAAATATAAGTAATTTCAAGTAAAAGTTGTTAAAATAAAACCATTACATTTTGAGTCATCTCTGTCAAGTGACAAAATATATTTTTTATAAAAGACATGACAATTAAAAAAGTTTCTAATACAACATCCTTCTTCTTTAATAACAAGAAAAAAATTTTTTTTTTATATATCAACAGAAAAATATTTCTAACACAACACATTTAAAACTTACAATAAAACTATTTATGAGTAAAGCCAAATCGATCAGGCGGGCGACTTACACGACCTGATGAAGTTACCAAATATCCATCTGAATTTCTATTCATCAATGGCCTACTTCCGGCCTGCTCTGGTGGTAAATTATTTACACTATGAGGAACGTCAATATCATCCGGAATATAAAAAGGAACAAACGCAAAAGGTTTGATATATATTCTATTACGGATAAAGTGAACACCATTAGAAATAATTTTGTAAGTTCGTTTATCCAATGCACATATGATTACACCATTTCTCCATTGTTTCCCAATTTTAAAAATAACTTTTTCTCCTCTTACTAGTGGCCTTAAGTCTTTCTTATTTCTATCATAATATACTTTACTTTTATATTGTTTCTGTTCTAAATTGGATCTTAAATTATCAAAGATTTTTGGATCTATTTGAAGACAAAGGCAGAATACCTCTTATCTTTCTGTTGAAGAAAATTTGAGCAGGTGAAGGGATTTCAAGAGATATAGGAGTGTTCCTTAACTCTAACATGACTAAATATGGGTCCTTCTTTTCATAAAAAGCTTTTTTAAGTAAGTTCTTGACAGTTTGAATTGTCCGTTCCACCATACCATTGGATTGAGGATACTCAGGACTAGAAAATTTATGGTCAATATTCCATTCTTTGCAAAATGAATGAAATTTTTCACTAGAAAACTGAGGACCGCCATCACTAACGAATATTTCAGGAATTCCATTACGACTAAAAATTTGTTTTAAATGATTAATAACAGCTTCACTTGTCGTGCTATTTAATAAAGATATTTCCGGATATTTGGAATAATAATCAACAATTAGTAAATACATTTTACCATTCAGTTCAAATAAATCACCTGCAACTTTTTGCCAAGCATAATGTGGGACAACATGTGGTATCAGTGTCTCCTGCCTATTATTATTACTATGAAGTTTACAGATATTACAAGAAGAAACCAAATTATTAATGTCATTGTATATGCCTGGCCAATAGAGACAGTCTCTTGCCCTCAACAGCGTTTTTGTAATACCCAGATGCGGAAAATGTAAACGTTTTAGCATTTCTCGCCTCAGTCCAAATGGAATAAAAATACTATTACCTTTAAATATAATATCTGATTTAAAGGTCAAATCATTTCTAACGGGTCAATATTTTCGAACTATACTCGGTATTGAATTTTTGTGAGATGGCCAACCCTGAGATATATATTTTTTAACAAGAATCAATTCACTGTCTTCCATTGTCATTTGTTTAATATAATTTAACTGTGATTCTGACGCATTAATACTACTTACAATAAAATCAATCTGTGCCTCAATCTCGTCAGTATCCAAATCGATTTCCGAAAAATCATTGTCATCATAAGATCTCGACAAAGTGTCAGCCAAATACAATTCCCTGCCACGCTTGTAAATTAATTCAAAGTCATATTTTTGCAACTTAAGTAATATTCGTTGAATACGTGCAGTACATGCGTTTAATGGTTTTTTAACAATAGAAATCAGTGGGGAATGGTCCGTTTCAATAGTTACTTTTCTACCAAATATAAACTGATTAAACCTTTTACAAGCAAATAGGATAGCGAGAAGCTCTTTCTCAATTTGAGCATACCTCTTTTGACAGTCATTTAAAGCTTTAGAAGCATATGAAACAGGAAGGTTATTTTGGAGTAGAACTGCTCCAAGGCCATCTTTTGAAGCATCAACGGACAGTATAACAGGAAGATCTTCATTAAAAAACTGAAGAACTGGCTCCGAGGCTAGCTTTTTCTTCAAAGCTTGGAAAATCTTTTCGTGGTTTTCCAACCAATTAAAATCACAATGTTTTTTCAAAAGATTTCTTAGAGGAGCACTTAAATCAGCAAAATTAGGAATAAATTTTGAAACGTAATTGATAACACCTAAAAATCTTTCTAGTTCTTTCCTGTCTCGAGGGCTTTTCATTGCAACGATTGACCTAATCTTTCCTTCATCAAGTTTTAATCCTTCTTTACTAATTATATGGCCCAGGTACTTAACTTCAGCTAAATTTAATTTACATTTATCTTTATTCAATTTAATATTTTCTTGTCTTAATCGGGCCAAAACTGAACGCAAACGTCTATCATGCTCCACCTGATTTTTCCCCCAAACCAAAACGTCATCGATAAAGACTTCTGTCCCTTCTAAATTTTCCAATACTTCTCTCATTCTTTGTTGAAAAACTTCCGAAGCGCTACACAAAGCAAACGGCATTCTCAAAAATTTGTACCTATCAAACGGAGTATTAAAACAACAAAGGTCAGAACTAGCTGCTGACAATTTGATATTCCAAAAGCCATTTTTAACATCTAGTGTGCTAAAAACAGTAGCGCCTGCTAATTTACTAGTTATTTCCTCAAACGTGGGCAAGCTAAAATGTTGCCTCATAATCACTTGATTAAGATCTTTCGGATCTACACACAGTCTCAGATCACCATTCGGTTTGTAAACAATCACTAACGAATTCACCCATTCAGTTGGATGTGTCACTTTCATAATTACATTCTGTCGTTCCATTTCATTCAGCTTTTCTTTTAATCGAGATTTTATACTTATGGGTACTTTTCTACAGGCATGTATGACAGGCACCGAATTTCCTTTTATTTTAATATCATACTCTCCTCTAATGCAACCTAAACCTTCAAAAACATCTTTGAATTCTTGAAAAATATCTACTTTTTTCTCTATTTCACGCAAAGGTTTTAAAAGTTCCATGTCAATGGCAGATTTAAGTCCTAATATATTAGTATAGCGTCCAGAAACAACATAAAAGTTAAGATAAAATATTCTGTCATTGTACTTACACGAAAGAGAGCATCGACCTAGGCACGGAATGCATTCGCCCGTATATGTGGTGAGCTTAGTATTAACTGATATTAAGTTATTTTTATTTATACCAAGGAAAAATAATGAATCGTCAGATAAAATATTCGCCTGTGCACCTGTGTCCACTTTAACCTGCAAAGGCAAATTATTAATTTCTAAAGTAATACACCAATCATTTGAGTTGACAACAGCGTTGATAAAAATCGCACCTAAAAATAGCATATCGATTTCATTACATTCATCATCGTTTTCTTTTATTTCGCTAATGCTTCTGCATTTTGTGGAAAAATGATTTCGTTTTCCACATTTTAAACAGTTTTTTCCAAAAGCCGGACATTTATATCTGTCATGAGAATAACCACAATTCTTACAAATAAATCCATTTCTTTTCTTTTGCTGCTGTGACGTAGAGTGACGTTTTATATCCATATGTGTGTTAACTGCGGAGGTTGATGGGTAGAAATTCTCTTTAGTGCTGTTGCGAACCATATTCAAACTTCTTTGATCAATTTTGTCAATTTGTGATAAAAAATTATGCGATCCCGAATAACACGCACTTGGAGACGAAATGGCTTCAACCTGCTGTTTTGTTCGTTGAGAAGTGCAACATATTTCTAGCGCTCTAGCCAATGTCAATTCCTTCGTACGTAGAAGACGATCTTTCACAGCTACGTCTAAAATTCCACATACAATCCTGTCTTTTATTAAACTCTCAGTTAGTGGTCCAAACTCACAAGATGCACTTAAGTCACGCAATTCCATTACATAATTTTCATATGTCTCCTCTTCTTTTTGATTCCGGGTAAAAAACAAAAACCATTCGTATGTCACATTTTTATCTGGGCAGAAATGTTCATCAAATTTTTGAAGTACTTTATTAAAATGCCTTTTGTCGTCGATTTTTTCGAATGTTAAAGTGTTGTACAGTTTCAATGCTCGATCACCTATAGCACTTAGTAGCAAAGCTGTTTTTATCGCATCATCACTTACGCTGTTTCCTGATGCCAGCAGATATATTTCGAACTTTTGCTTGAAAAACATCCAATTTTCAGATAAATTACCTTCCCAAGATAATTGGGAAGGAAGTGCTATATGCGGGAATTGATTTAATGTTTTCCTTTCTTCGGCTAGTTGCGAAGATTGTGCCATTTTGAAAAATGATCACTTTATAGCACTTTATATTATATGTATATACTTCACTTCACACGCACCTATCTTAATTCAATAAAAAATATTAGTTTACCGACTGCGCCATGTTAAATATAAGTAATTTCAAGTAAAAGTTGTTAAAATAAAACCATTACATTTTGAGTCATCTCTGTCAAGTGACAAAATATATTTTTTATAAAAGACATGACAATTAAAAAAGTTTCTAATACAACAGTAGGTAGCTTTTAGACTTCCAATTGTATGCGATGTAAGTTGGCGCGGTGACCAAGGACTTCAAAAATAAGAACGCAGTAGATACTGTGCGAAGAGCTTTCGGGATGCGACATGCGTGCGTGTGCTTGCGTTGGTTATGGCTTAGCAACTAACTTATTACTAACGTTTACTCGATCAACAAAAAAAAACAGAATCAAAGGCAGGTGAAATTCAATAGAAGGATTCCCACACATAAACCCTACGGCATATTTATTAAACACTAGCGGCCCGCCCTCGCTTCGTTTCGGTGTAGAGCTGAAGCGTAGACTACAGTTTTTGTTCTCAGGCTTGTTTTATACACAATGACATTCATCTATGATTCTTATACCTGCATGCAAAGTCTCAGCCCATTCGGTTTTAAAGTTGACAAAGTTTCATACAAACTTTCATTCCCTATTTTATCCCCTTGGGGGTAGAATTGATCAAAATCCTTTCTTAGCGGATGCCTACGTCATAACATCTACCTGCATGCCAAATTTCAGCCCGATCCGTCCAGTGGTTTGGGCTGTGCGTTGATAGATTACTACGTCAGTCAGTCACCTTTGAGTTTTATATATATAGATTATAAAAAAACTGAAGATGGTATATTTATCTTTTCCAAACTTCTATTGACATCACGTCGCTCAATTGTTTTGCCTTCCCAGAATCTCTCCACTAACATTTGAAATTTATGGTATGGTATTAAAGTTCAAATTGACTTTAAAGTATTATTACGAATCGTTTGTATGGGAGTAAAGAAAAGTTTTGTTTTTTGACATTTTCAGGCATTTTTTTTTAATTTTTCTCTTTGTAAGAACCATCCTCGTACTTCAAGGAATATTCTAAAAAAAAATCAGCCAAATCGGTCAAGCCGTTTTCATGTTATGTCGTGACAACGGAAAACGGGTTTCATTTTTATATATATAGACTAAGGAAAAAAAAGGTAAATTTAAAAAATCAAAAAACCCGACTGCTTAATTATTCTTCAAATAAAAACTGAAAAGAAAAAAACAAGTCCAGTAGTCTGTAATTCTGTTAATAAGGAACAAAGCTACTTTAACAGTCGGGACCCATTAGATATTCAAGAATACGTAATATTTTTCAACAGTGGGTCCCGACTGTTAAAGTAGCTTTGTTCCTTATTAACAGAATTATAGACTACTGGACTTGTTTTTTTCTTTTCAGTTTTTATTTGAAGAATAATTAAGCAGTCGGGTTTTTTGATTTTTTAATTTTACCTTTTTTATTTAACACTTTTTAGTTAGTATTTTAAGACGGTTTACACCGTAGTCTTGTTACTTCAGTAAGGGAATTAATATCGCGGGAATTATTAAATACCTTGCGTCGGTCTAAAAGATTGATTTATTAAGACATATAAAGACTTTACCAGCGGGGTCAAGGCTACAGATGGGCCTCAATTTTCGCAAAAATGTGTGAAGTTAAATCAAGTCGTTACATAAATATCTTTAATGTATGTAAATTTTATAGTAAACTAGCACTTACTCAAAAAGTCATCTTTTGTTTATGTTTTTTTTAATAGTTTAGCAGTAAATATAAAATTCATTTACTTTTATTCGTCGACTATTTAAAATTGGCAGTGGCTGCATTGTCATGTCAATGCCGGACGTCTAAGATTGTGATATACACAAATTCAGTGTCAGTTCCTAGTCTCATAATTTGATATACCTACATAATTCACAGAAACCCAATATGTAGATGCCAGAAGTTAACTTCAAATGTTTTTAATCGCCCTATATACAATACCAATCAATGACGTTTATGTCGCAGGTTGAAGAAAGAAGTAATTCCCGTCTGTTGTTTTGGATAATGGTGGCAACTGCCTTAGATCACTAAATTAAATAATTATGCAATCACCAAAGCAAAGTTTATAATATTTGATTAAAGTAAAGGCGCATAATAAAATGTTCATAACTTACATTCATGTAACTTTTATTGTTTTTGCAGTGCAGGCCAAAATGGCTCGCAGATGGGACATTTTTTTCCGTCTTATGTGACACTTATTGCTATATATTGGCCAATTCACTCAAACCTTACATAAATTATTATATATATGTAATTATCATATATGAGCTATATTACTGTTAAGTTTCATTAAAATCCATTCAGTATTTTTTAGGTGAAAGAGTAACAAAGATCCATACAAACGTAAGATTGAAATTAAAAGCGTAAGTGGTTAATATACAACTTTAAAGCGTTGTAAATCCTAAACAATCATATAAAATGAAAAATGGTGTTAGAAACCTAAATATGATTTTCGATTATCTAGACAGTGATACCCCACTCGACATATTTTGTCAACTTTTTTTTTTACTTCGTCACAATATGGGGCCTAATTTTGCCCATATTGAATTTTGATTACTATCATATCTTTAGTAGCACTCCCATGATTGAGACGAATCGATTGATGTTTGAATCATCAAAATCGGTCCAGGCGTTTGGTCTCTAGTGTGCCACAAAGGAACAAACATACATATATAGACTGTTAAACACATAACCCTGTCTGCGCGTCGCGCTTCGCGCTCTTGCATTGCCGGGTAAAATTACGCAACAAGTGATTAATTCCTTTATCAAATATCGAAATGTAGGTTTCAAAGTAAAATGACATATTTAGTTTTCCTATAAATATTACATATTTTAGGGTTTTATTTAAAAATGCGCGTCGCGTCGTCTACACCAATGCTGAAAGAAAATTATATATCTTCGATTTAGCCATTTTTGGATTTATTTTGATTATACAAACGTACAAGAATACAAATCTTTCCTGTGGTCTTAATATCATTAATACTTAAAACTTCGACATAGTAAGGGAATACATGGTACATGCAATTCAAAAAATCATATCTGGCTTCAAAAGCTCGATACTTTCTTGTCACTCTTTAAAACACGTGGATTTGTATGTTTAAGTTGCGTTTCAATAATTGTTCTCATTGGCAGTTGTAGCCCGTAAGAGTTATAAGTCGCTCCATGAAACTAGCGCTGACCTTTATTGCCTTGGGGCCTTTATTTATAAGATGTCTTGGGGGGGAAACGAGGTGCGCGGGTGGACGTTCGTTGCGCCGATTGGCTCTCCAGTCGTATCCATCCGCAACTATCCCCTCCGCGTTTTGTTCAGCCCTAGTTACGTGTCGCGACCTGTAATTTGAGACCTGCACCCCTAGCACGAACCATTGTCGAGTTCGAATAGTTTGCAAATGTCAATGTCAAATTTTGTATGGAAACTTGAACAGCAGCGCCACAAAGTACGTAACCAGAACTAAAAATCAGTACACATTTGATAATGACATTTCGGACTTGCAAACGATTCGAATTCCCCACCGCACCATGATTCGAACCCAGGACCTTAGGATCACACACCTTCAAAATTAGAGTACAGACCACTCACACCACGGAGGTCGTCATGATAATTAATTAAAAAGTTTTTGTTTCAATTCCAGCTGTACATGAAGTCCAACGCTCTCTCCAAGGTGTATCCTCAACTGTTGTCCCGATGGGACCTGCTTACCGCCATAGATGTGTCCGGCAACCCGTTCAGATGCGACTGTGAAACCCAGTGGATGGTAGACGTTTTGGTGCCTATCGTCGATAAACTCAAACCGAACGCGTCTGAGGCTATGGTGTAAGTTAACTATATGAGTAACAAATGGAGAAGTTAGAACCTCGTCTCAAACCTAGCAATAACACAAGTTAGTATCGCCGCACACGGGTCACCGACCACAACCACAAAACGCCGTCACCGGCATATTTCTTGTAGTTTTCATACATTTTATATGGACTCGCCACACACGGTACGCCGGTGGCCTCCACACGCTACAAATCGTCGTTGCTCGCTTCTTGTTTCCCGCACCGGCCACTTAATGCGCCGATACAAAACGCCGCTACACGTCACTCGCGCAATTCCCCACCCCTCTCTTCCTTACCTTAGTCGGCCGCTGTCGCGCGCTTCAGCCACTTTAGTAGCCGCTTCTAGCTTCTCGTGGCGGCGTTTGTGTCTGTGGCGTTTGGCCCGTGTGCGGCGGCACTTAGTGCATTCACTGCTTATGTGCTGTTACATCTGAATTCCAATGTGTTTCACTGCTTCATTCCGCTGGGGTTGGAAAACTAGGTGTCGATATCTAATGCGACGTCCAGAATAGAAACCATTTGAAGGCTTTTATTAAGCTTGGAGTCCTCAATCGTTTAAAGCAATACCTACTTTACGTGTAAGTAAAAGCTGCTGCCTAACATTTGCTAAGATCTTGTTTTTATTAACAGGATAATAATAATTGTTTGTAGAAGCTTCATGGCGCACATCAAGTCTGCGATAGTGGATGTTAAATAACTATCGCATTGGCTGGTCATCGGAAGAGTTACCGGGAAAATATATTATCTGCCACTCCTCCGTGCTTCGGAAGGCACGTCAACCCGTTGATCCCGGCTGCATCTGCAGTCGTAAGCATTCACTAATCCGCACTGGGCAAACGTGGTGGGTCATGACCCACTCTCAGTATTCCGTCCATTAGGAAGCCCCAGCAGCAGGAACTAGGAACGGCTGATGATGATGATGATAATTGTTTCAGTTGTTCAGAGCCCGAGCAGATGAGAGGTTTCACCATGAGGTACGTGCATGAGGTCAATCGTACTATGCGCTGCGTGTACGCGTCTAATAAGAACGGCGCTGTTGTGATAAAGTCTCTTATTGGTAAGTGTAGAATGTACCACACACAAAATAAAAACAGTTGGTGGTTTTTTACCACACCGGGGTAAAAACCACAAAAATAACTGTCGATGAAAACGTGACTAGTTACGGGTACTAAGTAAGGAGATTATAGACCTCTCAAGGTGAGGACCTTAAGATGACGATCGCAGAATGGGATTTAGATTGGAGGGCGCTGTAGTGCTTTTCTACCGTATTTGTAAGGTTTTACCCCTTTTAGACATCATTAAATACAATAAACCGCAAGAAATCACAATAACAAACAAATCCGTATCAATACACAACTTAGACGTTTTACCGATTGCTGGGTTTGATTGCCAAAATCTTAATGTTAGTTCCGTTTTTCGCCACGCCCATTCTCTTTCCGCACAGACTCTACTGTTACTTATAAGTTCTCTCGAGTTTCTCTCTTTTCTCGCCCATACGATTTTTATATTCGATCTCGGATTCCGATTAACCCATTCTACTTGTACTGTCTTTTTCATTATACTATACAATATTATAAAATAATAATTTATTTTATAATTTTATTTTTATTTTTAAAACCTTTTTTTCGCAAAACTTTCTGAGTAGCCTGGTATTTCATCTCTGTCACTATTGCGTCGGCTTTGCGACAGGTTTAAGAAAATTGTAATACCAGGGTTTTTTTTTAATTTCAGGTGCATTGCTTGCTGTTCCCATTATGGCCGCTGTGATTTTATTGTTGAAATGTGGAATTTTAGCTTTGAAGAGAGCAACCAATAGTGACCAATAGGACAGTTGAGAGAGTGCTGGTGTCGTGTAAATACCTGTAAATACCTATATAAAAGAGTGAAGAGAATAATAAGATAGGTACCTAGCGTTTATAAGGCATAAATTTAGTGATGTAACTTTTTCAATAAAATTAATTTGTATTTATTTTTTGTAGCATGCTTTTTATTTCTGAGTTTCTTAAGTATATATAGGCCACTCGAAACTTCAGAACTGTACCCCTAAAAACAAACCGCAAACTATTGGAATTCGATAATGGTTCTTGCTAGGGGTACTGTACCCCTAGCACGAACGATTACCGAATTCGAATAATTTGCAAAACGAAATGTATATATTTTATAGACAAGCCCCTCTCGGTCAATTATCTGAAGCAATACTGGCCACCAATAATGATTTGCGACAAATTGTGGAGTGGAGCAAATCCTTTGGACTAGAGGTAAATCCCTCCAAAACACAATGCATTATTACAGATAGCTCAAGGATGATTGCCAAAGTGAATTTGCAGTTACTTCCTAACATAACTCTAGCTGGCACCAGTATTCCATTTAGTGTTTCTATTAAAAATTTAGGAATAATCGTCGATAACCGTTTCAGTTGGGATCCACAGTTACAAGCTGTTAGCCGAAAATTGTTTGCTTCAGCAGCTTCGCTGAAGAGACTACGTAAATTCCTTCCTATTGCCACCAAAATTGCCCTAGCCCAGTCTCTGCTACTTCCCATTCTTGATTACGCTGACGCCAGCTATCCTGATCTCACGGAGGACCAGCTTAAGAAGCTTGAGCGACTTCAAAATTTCTGCATTCGGTTCATATTCTGCTTACGCAAATATGACCATGTGTCTAAATCCGATCACAGCTCAAGTGGCTACCTATCCGACTTCGCTGGAATACTCACATTCTCACACTTCTCTACAATATATTGTTCAATCCTTTGTCCCCGCGCTATCTCAAGGAATGCTTTAATTACCTTCATAATTCGAATGCGTTATCTCTTAGCTCATCAGAAAATTTAACCCTAAAAATTCCTACCCATGACAGGACCTTCTATGGTCGTTCTTTTACCGTCCAAGCTATACGTCTATGGAATTCTCTTCCAGTATCCATAAGACGAGCTCAATCTATTAATGTCTTTAAAAATCTTGTTGTGAATCACTATTTGTCGATGTAGCTGCATTTTTATCTCTGTTGACTGGACTAAACCTATATATGTGTAGTCTATGTATATATATGTAATATGTATAGGTATATAGTATGTATATATGATGTGTATTTATGTATGTATATATACTTAATTCACAAATTCGTTTAAATCCCTTGTTTCTTTTACTGACACCGCCGACTTCAGCTTTCTTTCAATCCTCTCCATCTAAAGGTTGTCTGGAAGAAATCGCTTGTAGCGATAAGACCGCCCATTGAAGCACTCTTTTTTTTACAATTGTAATGTCCCTCATTTCTGTTCTATGTTGTGGTGTTTTCAATAAAGTATTGTGTATTGTATATATAGGCCACTCGAAATAGGGGGTAGGGCTAGGGGTGCTGTACTCCTAGCACGAACCATTATCGAATTCGAATAGTTTGCAAACCGAAATGTATATATAGGCCACTCCAAACTTCAGAACTGTACCCTACAAACAAACCGCAAACTATTGGAATTCGATAATGGTTCGTGCTAGGGGTACAGTACCCCTAGCACGAAAAACCGAAATGTCAATGTCAAATTTTGTATGGAAACTTGAACAGCAGCGCCACTTTGGACGTAGCGGGAACTAGAAATCAGTACACATTTGACAATGACATTGCGGACTCTCAAACGATATGAATTCGATAATGGTTCGTGCTAGGGGTACTTTACCCCGAGCACGAACCATTATCGAATTCGAATATTTTGCGAGTGCGAAATGTCAATGTAAAATTTTGTATGGAAACTTAAACAGCAGCGGCACAAAGTACGTAACGAGAACCAATAACACAAGTCAACACGATTTTTGAGTCTGAGTTCTTTGTACCAGATTTTGATTTCTTATACCTAATTAATGTAAGAAACAATATTATATATTTATTTAAAACTCTTTTATTTTCTTTAGACAAATAACCCAAGTCTCTGTATACAAAAAATATATTGATTTAGTTTTAAAAATTGATATTTTTAGCATATTTTATAATTTTTAGTCTGCAAATTTACTGAAGTAAACAAAATACCATGGAAAGGAGATTGGTCAAATTGGCCTAAATGCAAATAAAATATTGACATATACAGTAATTCTTGGCGTAATTTATACTTTATTTTACAGTCATTAGATTTTAACGGCCACCTTTAAATAATATATTAATTTTAAAAAAGGACTTCTATTTTTACCGGTTTGGAAAACATACGAATCATTTTTATTGGCTATGGGTGTAGTAACATTCACAAAGACTGATCGAGATTGTTTATATAACATCAAAACAAATCTATTTTGTAAAGATTGATATTTTTTTTTTTATTACACTGTGGTGTTAATATCCACAACTTTATTATCATTTTTACTACATGCAAATGTGCTAAGACAATTAATATAGATGGTAGACTGTAGTGTTTGTTTTTAAACAGAGCGTGACACTGACACACGTAGGACAGCTGTTTTGTCTATGATAGCGAACCGCTTACGTCGGCGTAGCTGTCAAACTTCATTGATTGGGTTGGTAGCCTTGAGGGAAGAGTCGATTTTCCTATTCGACTAAAATATTCGCCTTGAGACTTATAAAAAAAAAAAAAAAAAAAAAAAAAAAAGTAATCAGGCGGGGAATCTCTGTGGGGGCGCGTGGATGAATGGATGGAGTTTGACAGTTGTTGAATTTTGAATAGTCTTTCCCAGATCAATTTGAGTCCTCATTATCGGGTGCTGTTTTTAATCGATTTTGAATTTTACTCGAAATTGAATTTCCTCGCTGATTTGGGTAGGTATTCCCTTTTCCTCAGCTTACGGCGAGCGTAGGTATATAGTTTTGAGTTTATTCTTCGGTTCGTCTCGAATGCGGCGGCTGTCTGTTTGACTGTGGCCTTTGCCTTCAGTTGAAGTGGGAAACAAATCATAGACACATGTTTGGGAGTAGACGATCCGTCTGTCATCTATGAGCAATTGTCAAAACAACTTTTAAAATTTCACAATCTGTTTGTGGTACAGTTAACTTTTCATCTTTTCTTCTGCCCAAAGTATAATAAACGGCATATTATTGTCGTCGAAGTCGTGAGATAGATCCGAAAAGTTTATATCCCGAAGGATATTGGCGGAAAAAGCGCGGAGTCGCTAACCGAACTGAGTTTCGTAGGTATATTGGAGTGGCTCTTTTTCCTACATAATTTGCAAGTTTGGGCTGTGAAAATAACCTTTCTGTTGATATTCTGTATCGTAGGTGGACGAACACGAACCTTCGCAAGGCGATTGCAATAATAAGGCGGTAACTTGTGATAGGAAACAAAATACTTACGGATAGTTTCATATTTCGAACGGTAAGCTATCATCTGACCTCATATTTATTCTCCTAGCACTAATTGAACTGCATTATGCACAATATAGTGATTCTTGTCATCAAATATACCTAATCATTCTTGTCAAGTTAGTGAACGTGGAATTGATTTTCTTCAAACCGGGTGGGACGGGCCCCCAGTCCTGTAGTGATTCAAATTTTAAAGTGTAAACATTGACCGTGAATATCCCTCACTCCCTCACCCACCACAGATGTGGTAATCTATGTATTTTCCCCATATCTGATCATTCTTTTTCAATGTGAACTTCAGGCTTGTACGTTCCCCTCAAGAAATACTGGAGGACTAACAAGGAGACTTTTGTTCTGTGCACGGACCAGAAGGGGCGCGGGAGTTTATTTGCCAGCCGCTCTCCGGTTTCATGTAACCCGGCCGAACAGCAGACAGATTGTACACAGCTTAACCTATCATAATCAAGGTATTTCTCTACTAACCCCGGGTGAACGTGAAAAAGGAAACACCAGGCGAGGTTGGACCCCGACTTACCCATTTCCATATATAAACATATAGCTATATAACTGGTTATCTCACTGAGAACTAGAATTAACTAAGTTTGTCACCAATATCGATCAAACGAGCCGTAGAACCTCTGAAATCCACTAAATAGCTTATTCAGTCTAGTCTATGTGGTATTTGTGGATAAAATATATTAGTAAGTATTATATTGTAAGTACATGGTAAAGTGTTATGAATGTCTGATATTCATATAATTATAACCTTTCATGACAACTTGTTGGTTTATATACACATTAACTTTGAACTACTGTATTCAGCTTAGATATTTATAATTAGTGAAACATAGTTATTATATAAATAATAAACATAGTTAGACTTGTTGATTTATATAAGCAATAACTTAAAACTACTGAATTCCTATGCTTTGGTATCTAAAGTGGATAAAATATACTTATATCATTATCTTAATTTTTTTGGTTTTCTTTTATTGTTCCCCCGGTGCTCTGAGTGAGCGAAGAGAGGGCAGTAGAGGGGAATTTAACATCACAAGACGACATCATAAAGTCTATTGCCGTATTGCCGTCTATGCCGTTATTGTTGTAATTGTGTTGTTGGGCGCAGAACTGTAGGTTGCTGCGCTCATGTGATGACAATAATTTGGTATTTGAGCTGGGCCAGATACCAAGAAAATCTAAATCCCCCTGCACAGTTTCTCGATGATATTTTAATTCAAAATGTAGATGATATGTGATATTAAACGCAACATAAAAGTACTTAAGTTGATTTATTTCATTAATTTACCTTATCAGAATATTTAAGCTATGTCAGGAATATACATATTTCACACATTGATCAGAACTATCATGAACCTAAGCAATATATTATTACATTAGAATTACCTTTTACCATTATAAACCTAATTATTACTAAGAAAATATCCTATTGGTTTTTATAAAATTATGATAACAGTTCCATGTTTCTCATAACATAGGTAAGCAGGTACCAGTTCCTTGACATGCATTTTGTTAGTGTAATTAGTGTTAGACACTTGTCAAATGAAACAAGATTGCTTCTGAAAGTCGCAATGGCATAATCATGATTTTAAAACTTACTCTTGTGCATTAATTTTAAAAACATACACATATCTGTTATTTTACATGCTCTATATACCTGAA